CACTTCTCAAATATTTAATTTTCTTTACTTGTTTGATATTGGTAACCCCAATTTGTAATTTGCCGGTTGGGCTGTTCATTTTGCTAACAACCATGCATTCTATCCTCTCACAATTAATGTTTAGTCCTTTCTTCACGCTTTCCTTCACTACCTTCTGTATGCATTCTTGTAGTTTACTTTCTGTTTCTGCTATGAACACTGTGTCAACTAAATTTGATTGTAATGTGATCTGCAGTAAATTTACGCCCCGGCTCTTACAATATTTCACTATTCTTGGTGTCACAATGTGGGATACATACTAACAGAAGGGGTGAACGGTAAAAGAAAAAACTCTAAAACAATTCGAAATAAAAACTTAAAAATAAAGAAAATTCTAAACAAAAACTTGTAAAATCTTATGTTGTATACACATGGGGGTGTATGTGTTTTATCGTATATATATATATATATATATATATATATATATATATATATATATATATTATAAATTAATTGATTTAAAATATGGGTTTTTTTTTGAACAGTTCTAACCATGTTTTTGAAACATGGTTAGAACTTGAAAAAAAACATATTTTAGATCAATTAATTTATAATATTAATGCAGTGTAAATTTAAAATTTACATCGAGCACTATTCTGTAAAAAAAAAAAATATCTATAAGAACACCGGATTATATATCTTACTGTTCTTTCTTTTTATTTTTTATATATATATATATATATATATATATGTGTGTGTGTGTGTGTGTGTGTGTGTGTGTGTGTGTGTGTGTGTGTGTGTGTGTGTGTGTGTGTGTAAATGTACATATTTGTATGTATGAAGATATGTATGCATAAAAGTGTGTTGGACAGCATGATTTATTCTATTGGGAGCTCGGATATTACCCACAATCTATAAATCTATCATTCAACTAATTTACACTAATCTTTATGTTTAAATCCACCATCGTTATTAATAATATTGAATACCTGTAGTACAAAAACTATTTACTGTGTATCCCAGCAAATCACACTTGGTGCTTGTATAAGAAACGCCAGATATTAGGAACCGAAATTTAGCCATAAACAACGAAAGCATCTAGCCATAAAGAAACTCCAACCCCAGACCGCTTCCCCGGAATAAGATACCTTACGCCTTCCACCAGTCGCTGACACAAGCCCCTTCTCATTAACAAGGCGTCTACCAGAGGAGGACTGATACTGAAAATAAATTTAAAATAATGCTCCGAGATAGACACTCAGGGGCTGATGATAGCCGTGTACAGACCGGTTTGAAATGTTGAGGGAATTTTTGTTTTTTTGCTGCAAAAAAATACATATGCTCTGTTATAATAAATACATCGATCTTTCTGAGGATCAGTTTTAATAATTAATATTACTAGGATCCACCAGGATTATATACCTACGGCTCGATTACCTGATATATATATATATATATATATATATATATATATATATATATATATATATATATATATTGGGGAAATTGTATGACAAAGTGGAAAAAGATTACTTGTGATTCGTTTGGTCCGTCAGAACATCATCGGACTAAATTTGATTGTAATGTGATTCCAGTAAATTTAGGCGCCGGCTCCTACAATATTTCACTAGTTTTGGTATCACAATGGGGTACATACTAACAGAAGTGGTGAACGGCAAAAGAAAAAAAAACTCTAAAAGAATTCGAAATAAAAACTTAAAAATAAAGAAAATTCTAAAAAAAACTTGTAAAATCTCAAATACACCTCGTTTGTGCGCATGTGTAGTCACACCAACTTAACAAATTTAGTCCGATGAGGTAAAATTTTCCCACTCTGTAATACAATTTATCACACACACACACACACACATATATATATATATATATATATATATATATATATTTCTGAGATGAAGTATTATGTACATTATTTACATTATTCGGACTATTGTCCTCATCTTTGTCGCCATATTTATCGCAACGTTTCGGACACATGCCACATTGGATAAAGGCGTTGGTTAGATCCAGTGACAGAACCCAAAAAGTGTGAGTTCAATACTCGGTTAAGGCAGAGGAGAACTTTCAGAGGGAAATTAACAGGAGATAACTGAAAACTGACATCCATCGAACATGGCACGTGGAACTAGAACAGTCTACCCCAGTGAGCGAAATAAAGGGTTCAGTTCGAAATTCCAACCACCTGAAGAAGGCCGGAGCGTACAACGATCGAAAGGTTTGATAAATATGGACAATAGTCCGAATAATGTAAATAACACACACACACACACACACACACACACATATATATATATATATATATATATATATACAATTTTGTGTAGTTTGTGCACTTGGAAACTTGTATAATATTTTCTCAGAATTCTCTATATTTCCAGGGTGGGGAGTAGGTGTTTATATTGCCGCATCCGTTTATTATATTTGTTACTAAGTTATATATATATATATATATATATATATATATATATATTAGTTACTAATATCCAAAAGTGGCTTATACAGGAGCACCTTCTAAAACGCACACAGACACGCACACACACACAGACATTTCACACACACACACACACACACACACACACACACACACATATATATATATATATATATATATATATATATGGCGACTTCTAGGTCATCAATGTTTTTCGGCTCATTACAATCTTTAACAAAATATACTATTGCTATAACTTAGATTCTAAAATGATTCATTTACCCAGACTAAAACATTTTTTTTAATTCTCTGTGCACGAAATTAAAAAAACACATTTTGGTAATTGTAATAATTCTAAGAAAATAAACATTTTTTTTTAAATTCTAGACATGTAACAAAATGGAGTGAGTCAAAATCTTTCATATGTCTGTCTGTTTATTGCCCAATTTCCATTATTTATTTTTATAGTCTGATTATCCGTTCACCCATGGTAGATATAGGAACAGTTAACTGATATCATATTTCCTAAACAGTGCCCCAGTCACACTCCGCAACCCTCCAGTCGACGAGTTAATGCTGCCACTTTCTTTGATTTTCGCCGACTTTAATTTGCTCTTTTTCAATCGATACATTCCGCTAAATAACTTATACTGTACGGAATAAATTATTTAAAATGAAAACTTGAAAACAATAAGTTGAAATAAAAATTTCTTCTTTGAACAACAGGGCATAAAAGTCATTAGAGATTTTTAAAAGATTATTTATAAAATGAAAGCAAGAAGTACATTGCCTATTAAGTATGTCTCCAGCTTGAAAGGATTCAGATGTACGCGGCCTGATTAGCCACATTAATTTTATTTCATTCTTTTTTCTTTCTTTTTTCTTTCATTCTTTTTCTTTCCACTTTATTATAAACAATATCAACGAAATGTATTTTCGTCAATATTTTGAGGCACTGAGTTAAAACAATAAATTTTTGATCCAGCTAAAGTCAAAAATGAAAACTACGCACTACGAAAGATTTTTGTTGCTTTGAAACAGATATACTCTAATGTTGACAAGCCTGACCCTTTGAAAATAAATATATATATATATATATATATATATATATATATATATATATATATATATATATATATATTTTAAATTTGAAATTAAAAAAAATCCTTAAATGTAGTTAAAATGAAATACATTTAAAGATTTTTGTTTGTTTTTCAAAATTTCTTCATTCTTTCGGATTTATATCCATTTACATACGTCATTATATTATATATATATATATATATATATATATAAAGAAATATAGTCTTAAGATGTGCTATATTTATGGGATAAAGTGCCCAATGTCAGAGATATCCTTGTGTGCCAGTTATAAAGTGAACATAGACATTCAACACTTAGATTATTTTCATGATAGATGCAATCGTCAGTCCTGACGATTGCATCTAGCATGGAACAGTGTTGACTTCTATGTTCACTTTTATATATATATGTATTTATATGTATTGTAATCTAAATTGTGCAAAGTTAAAAATAACACTGGTATCACAGATATATTAGGTTGGTGGAAAAATAATGACGTAATAATGTCGTTTTTGGACGTATTTTTTAACGTCAAAAAACGACATCATTACGTCATTATTTTTGCACCAACCTAATATTTACCAAAATTACACAAAAATATCTTGAAATACTAAAGAGTAAATTTATACAATAAAATCGCCATTGGCTTTAACAACGGCTTCCAGACGACTTCGAAATCTCCTGCATCTCTTCTGCACTGTCTCCTGGTTTGTTGGTGTTACAAGGAGTTTTGTTGGTCTCTCACTCAACTGTGTACTACACTTAATAATCAAGGTTGCAGGCTGCGAAAGTAGGTGGCCAGATGTCTGACAGACATGACAGACTAAGTGAGTTCCAGGTTTCCCGATAAGACGTTTAGTCATCTTGACACCATGCGTCACAAGAATCACTGAACATTCCTTTGGGTTATTCAACTACAAAGAGAACAGTTTAAAATCGCTATGTCTCAGCGCCACTATGTCGTTTCAACAGACCAATGGGAAAGGGAAAATTTCATTCAGGCCTTCAGCATTGGTACCAACATTCATACTCTGGCTTCCATCTTCAAAATCCATTCAAGAACCATCAAGAGGACGATGAATAAATTTAAAAAAGAGGAAACAGTAGACAGAATAAACTGGATCAGGAAGTCACAACAGGAAGCGGGAACATCATTTCAATTTAGAGCTAAAGAGATCAATTAAAAACTCCCTATTTAAAATTGCTACTAACTTTATTAATTTTTAGGCGAATTGTTTTAAAACATGTTTTATTTTTAGCTGTATTTGAAGTAGAGTGCAGTGTTAAATTCTTCCTTTTTGTGCATTTTCTCCCAATCTGGATGGTGAAGGATGACTGCTTCTGTGTGTAACTACCACAGATTCCGTCCTTATGAAATTTGTATGAAAATATCAGATGGTTTTCACCTCTACTGAGGCACACGAGTTCCATGAAATTTATGATGGTTTTATTGTATTTTTTAACAGATTTAAAATTCTGTAGTCACACCATGACTTCAATCTCCATCTTGCTTTCTCCTCTCTCTCCTTTGGTTTTCTCGCTTTTCTTATTCTTCACCAACCTTTGTTCGGCGCCACCCGTGGCTTCAGGCAGTCAGAGAAATGATCTTACATTACGTCTCTTCTTTCTTCGATTTTTTTAGCCGTCATCAACGCCAGTCAACACCCTATGTTCATAATTCTCATATCCTGTCTTGGTAGACATTTCCATTTTGCATCTCTGTATCACGGTCTGCCACACTCCGTAACCGTATCTTAGATGAGCACCTTCATGACATTCTGAGCTACCGCTGTTTTGTGAACATAAGGCGGTCGTTAATAATTAAGCATAAATCAAGACCTCAATGTTAAGATAAAACAGTATTTAATTACAACCGCAAAATAAATACTTAATATGAACAAAGAAGTAAAAGTCAACTAAATATAATTAACCATTTCAGTGAATACCTTGTTAGTAGCCCGGCTCGGCTTAACATCTGATAAATCGTAAATCAAAACCCAAATCTTCGACGCACATATAATTCACACTAATTCGACTGGATAGTTCCCCTCAATACTCACTCATTCCAGTCAGTAGCCTGACACCGCTAATTATACCCCTGGCCTAATACATATATTCATAAGTTCAGAGTGTCACGCTCAAACCTCGGGGTCGGTAGTTACTCATTTTCCTCCTGTATAAAACGCTGTCACTCTAAAATAACAACAGCGCTATGGCCTGTTCGTTACTGTCAAACTCTTCAGCGGAGAGGAACTCTGAAGACGCTTAGTTTCGTCCAGGGAAGTAGACAGGCCCGGACCCGTTTATATGGCTTCTACGGGAATATTTTTGGCAGAGAATACGGGCTCGAAGAACCCACAGTAAACTCGGCCTTGTGCCACATACATCCCTAGGGGGCGGGGGGCTGTTAAATATTAACAGAAATTAGCAATGAAATTCTACCGCTTTAGGAAACACGCTATATTTTGTTTCATACAGATGTGTTGATATGAACAAAATAGAAACGTAATGTTCAGTGTAGAGGTTCTTCTCTCTGGCTGAAAGAGGTGTGATTCAGCGTCCATTACGACTTCTATTTTGAGTGTTTTTCATTCCTATCAGTGAAAACTAAATGACCCCGGGCATTTTAAAATATGAATGGAAATTATGTAAATATACGATCAATAACTGGTGTGTGGGGTGAGGAAGTAACAAGAGAGAAAAACAGTTTATTTATTACATTAGTGCATTTTTTTTAAAATAGCAAAATATAGCTCATAACGTTGATTAATCTACAAACAGACGGTGTGATCATTTGTAGATTATTCAAAGGTATTTTCTGTAGTGGTGTTTAAACGATTATATGTAACAAGAGAAGCTTTTTTTCTACCGGTGTTAGAGGGCGATGTCCCAATCTAAATGAAATACCCGGAATTTCAATGCTGTATTATTTTTATTATTTAACTATTTATTTATTTTTTGGTTGGGAGAGACAAGCTCTTCCCAATTGGAACAGATGTTCTGCACGATCATTTTACATTTTATTCCTTCACGTCCTGACACTGGGATTTCCTAAGGTTAAAAAATACCGAACATTAAGTATAGCCTCGTGTACGCCAGAGATCAGGGTTCGAGTTTAGGATATGTTGATATTATCTACAAGCAAATTTTCCTTACAATAAAGAGTGTAAAACATTTCTTCTAAACACACCTCATCTAATGCATGGCGCCAGTTTTTTTTTATAAGTAACTAAGCACAAAAAAGGAATATAAAATTAATTTTTCAGAAAAATAGGTTAAATACAGCAAATATGATAGGCGACTTATGCAAAATAGGAAAAGACAAAATTATTCGTACAGTATGAAAAATAGAAAAAATTGAACCATTTTCACAAAACTAATAGTCGATAGCATGGCCTCTCATCTTTATAACTTGCTGCTGTCGTTTTCTAAAGTTTCTGGTGAGATTATTGGTATTTTCTGGTATTTCAACTCTTCAATGGTTACACGTTCTAATCCCTGAAGGTTTTTTGGTGGTGACCGACGATTATTTCAAACTTTCAATTCTTGACATAGATTTTCAATTGGATTCAATTCAGGACTCGTTGAAGGCCATGGCAGAAATGTAATCTTTTTTCTGAAGCTACGCAATCACTGATTTAGGCGTATGTTTGGGATCATTATTTTGCTGGAAAGTTAATCGCCAACCTAGATGAAGATTTTGCGCTGATAGTTGTAGATTTTCATCCAGAATTTTGATATAGTCTGCAGATTTCATTCTTCTTCTTATTGCAATTAATTCTCCATTCTCCCTTGAGCTAAAACAACCTCCAAACATCATCGAGCCGCCTCCATGTTCTAATGTTGCCAATATAGTCTGTCTTGTGCCAAATCATCACTACATCATTATTTCGAAAAAGTTCAGTTTTTGTTTCATCATTCCATAGTATTTGTTTCCAAAAGCAATTTTCTTTGTCCAAGAACATTTTAGCAAAATTAAACCGAGCAAAAATGTGACATGGTTTGTGAAGAGGGTTTCATTGAAGTCGGTTTCCATACAACCCATTTATATTTAAACAACGTTGTATTGTGCGAATACTTAGACTGATATCCCAACTTTTGGCGATGTCTTTCAAAAGAACTCTTGGGTTTATATTAATGCCGCAATACAGTTTTGTGCTGTTCTCGGTGACAATTTGTGTTTTCTTCCACGCCCAGGCAAATTCTATATCGTGCTAAACTGTTTAAACTTCTTTATAACGGACTGCACCGTAGATCAAAGAATAGCTAACCGGTTTGAAATTAGGCTGTAACTATTTTTCGACTTGTGGAAATTAATAATTCTCTGTCTCAAGTCAACGTTAAGTTCCCTTGTTTTCCCCCATCGTGTTGTTAACGTCAGAATAACAATTGTGAAACTCTATGCACCACGTGATGTTCTTTGCTGGAATTATCACAAATATTCTACTGAATAAATAGTCTAGAAGGCTTCACTGATAAAAATAATTATGTAAGTTACTTATACTTACACGAATCAATCTAATTTAAAACGATATTTTCTACTGTAATTTTGTCTTTTTTTATTTTGCATATATGAGGTGTGTTTAGAAGAACTGTTTGGCACTCTTCATTTTAAGGCAAATTTGCCTGTAGATAATATCAACATATCCTAAACTCGAACCCTGATCTCTGGCGTACAGGAGGCTATACTTAATGTTCGGTATTTTTTAACCTTAGGAAATCCCAGTGTCAGGATGTAAGGGAATAAAATGTAAAATGATCGTGTAGCACATCTGGCATCATACGGGCATTATTTTCAGAGAAATGTATTATATTCAAAATTGATGGGTGTACGAATAATTTCGTCGTTGACTATATATATATATATATATATATATTGCTGCCTCTGTATATAAATATAGAGAGTTGTCTATTGTGCTGTTGTACTCTCCTGCCTTTTTTAGATTGGAATTCCGAATCGAACCCTTTATTTTCGTCCAGTTCTAGTTCCACATGGCGTGCCTCTTTTGCATATCTCAGTTTCGGTTATTCCCCTTTAGTAACTTAACTCTTTAACGTTTTGTTCACCTCCGTTGTACCCAGAGTCAAGAGTCACAACTCTTTGGGTCAAGTGACTGGATTACTTCAACCAACGTTAATAATATATATATATATATATATATATATATATATATATATATATATACCAGTTTGTTAAAAAAAATATATATAGATATAGATATAGATATATATATAAAGAGAGAGAGAGAGACATATGTCTATATGTGTGTGTGTGTGTGTTTGTCAGTGTATCCAAATCTGTTATTCTATCAGTTTTTCCTAATAGTTCCAGTATATTCATATTTATCTATCTGTCTTTTCATTCATGTATATATACATATATATATATATATATATATATATATATATATATATGTGTGTGTGTGTGTGTGTGTGTGTCGTGTATGTGTCTGTGTGTCTGTTCATTTGTATGTATACGCGTATATCAGAATATTCATCTCAGTATATCTGTCTATCTATAGTTTAAATAATAATATCTATCTATCTATCTATCTATCATCTTTCTCCGAATGTTCCTATCTATAGGTCTGTTCATATATTTCAGTATTTTCTTATCTCAAAAATCTCCTCTCTCTATCTCTCTCTCTCTCTCAGACATTTCATTATCTATCTACCCATCATATCTATCATTATGGTTAACTATCTATCTATCTATCTATCTATCTATCTATCATTATGGTTATCTATCTATCTATTATCTATCTATCTATCTAAGACATTTCATTATCTATCTATCTATCATTATGGTTATCTATCTATCTATCTATCTATCTATCTATCTATCTATCTATCCAATCATTTCATTATCTATCTATATATATATATATATATATATATATATATATATATATATATATATATATATATATATATATCTGAATGTTATTTATCTGTTTCTAATCTACATGGTTGCTGGATTCATAGATGTCTATTCCAATTTATTTACCTCGATCTAATATATAATATATACATATTATTGTCTATCTTTCACACATTCTCAACTGTCTCTGATATATATATATATATATATATATATATATATATATATATATATATATATAAGTACATGCGCTTGTATATTTGTGTTTTTGTGAGGAGGTGTAATATAATTACATCAAGCTTTATAACTTTCATGACAGACACAACCACTCGGTTACTGAAAACCCCTCTCTTTCTCCATCACTCTCTTTCTCCATCACTCTCTTTCTCCATCATTCTCTTTCTATCTCTAACACACTCACCCGTCACATACACACACCCGTCTAGATATAGAGACATGTGTGTCACGCCCAACTACGCACACACCAACCCATCATAAGCAGACTAATTTCCAAACCTTCAACCTCTGACAAAAACCTCTACTAACAGGTGTATGTGTGTGTTTGTGTATGTGTGATTGTCTGTGTGCGCACTTGCGTGGGTGTGTTCAAAGATCTTTGGGTGAACGCCGTGTGAGTTATTGTAACTGCACTAAAACTCAAATCTTCACGCTTGCCGACCCTTGCCAATCTTTTGAAATCTTTTGCTCGGTGGTTCCTTTACCCAGATTAATGTCGCACCGAGATTTGCTCGTATAGACGTGAAAGAATCTTCGACTTTTTGGTTTTATGTGCCTGGACGCATCGGATAATCAAAATAGTTCCTGTTTTTGTCTTAAGAATATTCCGAGTTAAAGAAACTCTGGCTACCAAAAGTACCCCCTACATATACATATATATATATATATATATATATATATATATATATATATATATATATATATATATCATTAAATAATTTAGACATTTTTTTTAATATGATCCTCTCCTATTCACGGACAAGCTTCTTGGAATCCTTATTAAAGGAAGAAAGAAACTTACCTTATTTGATGCATATTCATTCTATGCCGTGTAATTTCGAGATTATCAAAATGTCATCTTCAGGATATCATTTAATCAGTGTCTTATTTTATGTAATACAAATTTGTTGTGTTTATCTGATTTTATTTATTTTTTTTTTTATTTGTGATATACTGTCCAATTTTAAAATGATGTAAGCATACCCTGTAGCAACTTCAAGGGAGGTAATTAATTTATTAAGATGTCTGTCTAAAAAAAAAATATTTAAATCTATTTGTTAAAACCTAGATATTTATAAACTGCAGACATTTTAAAACATTTGTGCAGTATTCGTAATTCATTTTACTAAATGTTGGTCTCATTTTTTTACTATAGATAGCTCCAGGAATTGTTTATGTTTATTATTTTCATGAAATCGTATAGATGTATTTTCAACAAGAATTTTTCTAAATTGCGAATGTAGACAGGCATGCTGTTGTAAATGTTTACAAATGTTAGATGCATCATGCAAACAAAACTGAACCTCCGAGACAAAGTAGTTGTAGTGTGACACTTCACGCGTATGCTTACATCATAAAATTTAAAATCGTATATAAGTTTAGCGTTTTTCACTTCACAAATAAGAAAGATAATTGTCAGTTAAACACAACAAATTTGTCTTAGATAAAACAGACCTTAATAAAACAAGACCCTCAAGATGACATTTTGGTAATGTCGAAAGTACTCGAAATAAATGAATATGAATGAATATGGTAATTTTCTTTCTTCCTTTAATAAGGACACTAAAAACTTCTCTGTAAATAAGAAAGGATCATATACAAAATAAGTAAAAACTTGTTTAAATTATTTAATGAGACACATCTTAATGAAAACATAATATATATATATATATATATATATATATATATATATATATATATATATATATACAGACGCAATCATATATGTTGATGATTGCGTTAGTATGAAACAGCCTGTCGCCTCTGAGTGTTGACTTCAATGTTCACTTTATATTTACACACGTTTCTATCTCTGATATTGAGCACTTTATCCCAAACATATAGTTAACACCTTAAAACTATATTTCTTCATATATATATATATATATATATATATATATATATATATATAAAATTTCGATTATAGGTGCAGTTTAATTTATAATTAGATGAAGATATTAATACAAAAACAAATATAGATGTTAATGATTTAAATGGCGAGAATACATTCGCAAACTGGAATTCATAAACAGGGATCATATCATTCATATACAGGTTCGAGGTTAGTGTATCTTATTCAAATTGTTTTCGAAGATGTATTCTCGCCATTTAAATCATTAACCTCTATATTTGTTTTTTTATATGAATGATATATATATATATCGTTAAATATGACGAATAAGCAATTTTTTCATTTTTTTATTTACTTTTCCAGCGTTCTTACATTTTCTGTTTCCCCCACCACCGACCTCACCTTCTTTAAGAATGAGAGCGGCGTGATGAAAGTCATTTAATAATAGAATGTCGCCCACACGAATTCTAGCTATGCCCAACACGAGATGGCTTTGAATTAACGCTCGTACTATAATTCAAAACCGTAAAGTACATGTCACACTGTCACAATATGAATAAAAAAACTAACAACACCAAAAACACACCCTCCTTGAAAATGGCTAAGGATGTGGTCGAAAGCGCATTGGGATAATGGTCGACAGGGACATTTTGTAATCCCTCACCCCACCTAACGGGAAACGTAAGAAAACAATCAAATTTTTAAATAAAAATTTAAATTTTCTTTTTCCGCCATATTTAACTAAAGGTTTTTTAAAAGAAAGGTTAAAGGCCAAATAATATATATATATATATATATATATATATATATATATATATATATAGATAGATAGATAGATAGATAGATAGACACACCTTGTAATCCAGACAAATACCTAGATTATTCATAAGGAAAAGTAATGCAGAAGTTCATGTTTGTAGCTTTTCTTTTTTTAAAACATTTTTTCCCTCTAGATTGATTTGATTAAAAATTTTTCGAAACGAGTCTAGTTATCTATAATTATATATATATATATATATATATATATATATATATATATATATATATATTGTTATTATTATTATTATTACATATAACAGACAATGAATGCTTTACGTCTGATCATGACTCTGTTCCAATGTTTCGAAAATAAATACAAAAACTGCCCAGCATTTGGATTTTTTTTAGTAAGTTGATCCCAACATTTCAGCTCAGATGAGCCATCTCAGAGGGGTTAGCTGAGACATGACACAAAGATAAATTTGCCAAAGGTGATATTTTGGCAATAGAAAATTGCTATACGATGATAACGGATAATTGACTTCAGTTTCCACACACACACACACACACACACACACACTTGTTTGAACACACACAATGGGATATATATATATATATATATATATATATATATATATAAGCAAATATGTGGATATAGATCCGACAGTATGAAGAAAATATGGAAAAACAAAAATCCGAAACATGCAAGTATGCTGTTTTAATGTTGTTTCAATGTCGACGTCAGACGTTTCGGTCTAGTAGACCTTCTTCAGAACATAGTTATTTAAAAACATAATTAAAATTAGATGATATTTAAGTCAACGTGAAAAGACGATAGACATATTTTTTAATCGAAACAAAATAAATGAAATTTTTTAAGATTCTGTTTAAATACGATCACGTCGGCGTCAAATGTGAAAACAGTTTTGAACATAAACGAGATATTCGCCTCGGTAATTTAAACAATGCTTTATTTTACACATAACTAAATCTGATCATAATTTTGATTTTGATTCATGAAGATTTTAAAATATATTCATAATAAAGATCTTAGACGGATTTATGAGGCAGGCATAATATCTATCTCATGCACCGTGAATACTAGACCCGGCTTCTTTAATATTCCCCCCTTTTCTGGCAAGATTAATGCTGGACAAACGTACTTATACATTAATTATAAGTGCACATCGAACACGCAGACCATTTCTCGACTATTTATATATACCGGTCAGTGATGCATTTTGTGTAGTATATTGCTTTAAATTTTGTGTAGTATAGTGTTTGCATTTGGTTTAGTAGAGTGTATTATTCTAACGGTTCGTTTGGTAAGTGTTAATGGTCTTGAATTATTCTGGGGCTATTGAGTGGGAAAAATATTGGATCTGAATGCAGTTTTTAGGCTATTTTTAGTGTGTGTGTTTTTTTCATTTTTTTATTGACTGTTTTATTGTTGGTTGTTACAACTACATTTTCTTGTGTTTATCTGTGCGTACTTTTTTCTTTATTATTTTGTTTATTTGTTTGGATTAATTTATTTGTTTTTTATTTATTTCAGTTTATTTATTTATTTTCATTTATTCTAGATCGTCTTCCGTTTTCGATTTTTATGTGATGAAGTAAAAATTTGCTTTCCTCTCTGCAATTTCAGATGAGTTCTGATCGTTTATTTAGTAGTCTATATTTATTGACATTATTTACATTCTTCGGGCTGTTATCCTCATCGTCATTGCAATATTCACAACTTTTCTGACATTTTACTCTCCAGACTTCTTCAGGTGATTGGAATTTCGAACAGAAACTTTTATTTCGTCCAGTGGGGTTGATTGTTCTATTGCTGTAGTCTGGTATTGAACTTACAACTCCTTCGGTCTGCTCTCTGATTTAACCAAATCTTTATCCATTGGGTCACGTTCCTTCACGTTATGAATAGGCAATGAAGATGAGGATAATAGTCCGAATAATATAAATAATCATGACACCTCATCTGAGAGATATAAACAGATAGTCTATATTTGTTTATTTTTCTTTTGTGGGTTTTTTTTTTTTTTGTTGTTGCTTTTTTATTTATTTTTTTTTTT